TATTCTACAGCGCCCGGGGAGCAATGGGGGAAGGGGGGTGTCCGGTGCCTTGCTCAAGGGCACCACGGCAGGGCAGGAGGTGAACTGGGACCTCTCCAAGAAGCAGTCCACACTCCATCTTTAGGTCTGTTGGGGGACTTGAACCGGCAACCCTACGGCTCACAGTGCAAGCCCCTACTGACTGAGCCACTGCCGGACATTGACATAATTAAGTTCCTTCCCTTCTTTAAGATATTGATCCCCTCCTAATGTTGGAGTGTTTGTGCTATCAAGTACTGGCTGATCTGTAGAGGATGCAAACATATTATTTTACAGTTAATTTATTTACAGTATTAATTCAAGTTACAGTTTGCCACATTCACAAAATTATCTCACCAACTAAACTTACCCTTGCGACCTCTAAGGAGTGTTGACCCCAAATCTGTGAAATAGCGCAGCGGTGTGCAGTTAGTGTGGGTATTAATTACCTGGAACAGTTAGGGAATACTTTAATCCTCCAAAGAGCTCTAACCCCTTACCAGTGTAATTTGAATATGATAGATAAACACATGAGAAACATGTGCATATCCACATATGGCTCGCAAGAACACACACTGTCATGCACTTGATCTGAAGGTGTGTGTGTGTGTGTGTGTGTGTGTGTGTGTGTGTGTGTGTGTGTGTGTGTGTCGGCGTGTTTGTTTTCCTGTCCTGACTGATGCCCTGTCGGAGCGNAGAACACACACTGTCATGCACTTGATCTGAAGGTGTGTGTGTGTGTGTGTGTGTGTGTGTGTGTAGATCCTGCTGGCTAACTTCCTGGCGCAGACTGAGGCTCTGATGAAGGGGAAAACCACGGAGGAGGCCAGGAAGGAGCTGGAGGCCGGCGGCCTGAGTGGAGCAGATCTGGAGAAAATCCTGCCACACAAAGTGAGTCTGATCAAGAAAAGAAAAGCCTTACTATATACAGTGTAGTTCTGTCTAATCCGAGGGGGACCCAAGTTCCCATCAGCAAAAACACGTGGGTTTGCTATCCTGGCTCCAAAATGGTGGAATGAGCTCCCCATTGAAATCAGGACAGCAGAAAGCTTACACATCTTCCGGCGCTGACTGAAAACTCATCTCTTTAGACTCCACTTCGAGCGATAGAATTACTAACAAAACACNCTACAGCACGGTCACATGACTTCACGTCACCACCGCTAAGCCAAAGGCGGCTAATGTTGGGCTATAAAGGAACTACAGCACGGTCACATGACTTCACGTCACCACCGCTAAGCTAAAGGAGGCTAATGTTGGGCTATAAAGGAACTACAGCACGGTCACATGACTTCACGTCACCACCGCTAAGCTAAAGGCGGCTAATGTTGGGCTATAAAGGAACTACAGCCCGGTCACATGACTTCACGTCACCACCGCTAAGCTAAAGAAGGCTAATGTTGGGCGTTATATTTAGTCGTTTCATTTAGACACTTCTGCTTGTATTAACCACAGACCTTATTTATTTATTCAAAAACATATTCAGAAACCTATTGACTTCGAGATAAGAGAACCGGGTGTGCTAAAATGCTGACTAATTTCTGGGGTTTTAGGACTAATTCCTGCACCACTCTCACATTTTAAAGGTTACACAGGGTTAATTCCCCGCTGCCTCAAACACTCAGACAGCCTCCGTCCTCTGGAGCCCGATGACATTTATATATATTTACGAGTCTTCATGGAGAAATAGGTATTGACAGGCTGAGCGGCTCGCTGTGTGGCAGCCTGCTTTACACTGGCTGCTTCTGGAGCCTAATGACGTCCCTCGAGGCGTCTCCGCTCGTTTGTTGAGGCGACGTCCTGCAAAGGCTCCTGGGACGTTCCTCCACGTTCTTGTTCAGTAACGTGCACATTCTGATAAGAGGTTGCAGTTTGTGGGAGGACTCCCTCGGGACTCTCGCACAGGTGTGCCGTCGTCTTTATGCAAACAGCTGTCACTAAGATTTGTTTGTTTTCTTTGTTGTGATGCTTCCTTTGGGGACCCCTGTAGATGTTCTGATACTGAGTAATTGAGCTGTTGAGTTTAAAAAAAGAAAAGCAATCCCACGCTGAATGTCATGTACTCGTTTTTCATCGTTCCACCTACACCTAACTCTGTTTTGGCAGCAGCTGATTCAAGATCCAGAGGCTGCTTCTCTCTGGAACAACATTGTATTCTCTCAAAGCTAAACTTGGGATTTCAATGGGTGTAATCCACTCTTTAAGACGGAAAGAAAAGACATAGGTGTTAAGCAAATCCTCTCTGGCAGCAGATCATACTGTATCTTGGCAGCAGACTCTGTTTGCTGTAGCGTCATCATGCTTTCAGTCCTCCATCAAAGGAGCTTTTCATTATTCAGTCCAACAAGTAGTTTGCTCCGAAGATGAATCCGCCTCTTTCCCAGACTGATAAGATGCACTGCCAATAACCTGATTCAAGACAAGTTGCAGTCAATAAATCCACGAGTTCAAGGCCAAAATAAAACTGTCATTCAACAACATGGCAAGAGTACTGTACATTACCAAGCTGTTAGCAGCCTTGGCGGGATGAATAATGGAGAGAAAGCTCAGGGGTAAATACAAGTATAAAGTTGAACCTGAAGGCGGTTTCAGGCAGAAAAGACGGCAAGTGTAAGGCTCTGCAAACAAGGAGTCAATGAAAAGACAGGTAGACATGGATTAACCTGTAACCCTACTTTTCAGGTCTCAGGCTCGAAAATGACATTCCCAGAACAAATGACCATATCTTCCCTTCTAAAAGGGTTAAATTCATAATCTTTTTTCTCAAAGTAATGACAAACCTGTGAGTTGGATGTAGAAGATTCAGAATCAATATGGATGTTTTTTATTTTAAAGTAAATTCAGATTGAACATAGTAAAACAAATTAAATTATATTGTCCGTCCAAAAATAAAACATAACTTATAGTGAAAACCACCCTTGAATGATGGGATGGTAGACTAAAAGCTTTAGGAATCCGTACTATAACATATAATTAGTACCCTGTATCAAGATTGATGCAAAACAAGTGAAATTTGACCTCTTTAGAGAGATTTAGAAAAAACACTTCTGCGGTCATTTGGGTGGATTTTCCATTTCTCTGGAACCCATTGGTCGATTTTGATGATTGACACCTCTTTTTAACCGTCAGAGCCAATAGAATTGAGGGGAAGTTCCTAAAATCCATCTAAACATTACCATTGGTGAATGAGTGATGCGCAGCCAGCATGCCCAAAACCGGAAGCTGGGTTACAGCTCTCTATATGAAAACTCAGTTTATTGACATAAATATTATGATGGATTATCAGTAATCATTTCAAAGTGACACAGACATTGGATTAACCTTCAGCAGCGTTTGTATGCGTTTTAATGCCATTGAACTAGGGCTGCGCGATTTTGGGAAAAAATCGAATTGCGATTTTTCTGACAAATATTGCGATTGCGATTCGAATTGCGATATTTGTTTTTAAGCGACCCAACGTAAGTAATGTAAGTTTATTGTAAAATGCGGCCATATCTCCGGCTAGGAAGGTCGTATCAACGTGCTCCCGTCTCTAGCACCCCCGCAGCCCGAGCTACGAGTGAAAGAACTAAACTTACATGAAACTTCCGTTGGGTTGCTTTAAAGTCAAGCTTCAGTTTAAGACTCACCCTGTAATAGAAACATGTGATGGAGCATTACTAACCTGACTCAGATGGTTTCACCAAACCATCTAGGAGAGCTCCATTGGAAGCCATTTGGAAAGGGCAGGCACTTTCAAAAAGACTTGGCAGGTGATTGGATCAATCTGTCTATCACCTTCTATAATGGGCCACTTCTGATTGGTTAACAATGGCTGGTACATGTGGAGCACAGCACTTCTGATTGGTGTGGATGACTGACACACAAGAAGAAAAAAAAAACTAAAAGAAATTGCAGGCTTTGCGATTTGATAATTGCATCAATTAAAATCGCGATTTTAGATTTAAAATCGATTAATCGTTCAGCCCTACTGTAGACTCGATAATAAAGCCTGGAACAGATCACACCATGATTATTATAATATAATATAATATTCAAGTCTTCATTAAAAACTCACCTGTTCACCATGGCCTTTGACCCCTAACCCATCACAGCTTCCACTCCTACTGCGGCCTTGGGTCCCTTAAAAGGCACTATACAATTGTAATCTATTATTATTATTAATATATATTTTCAATGTTAATGGAGATATTATCTTTACGAATGATCACTCTAATGTCCAGTCTTTTTACAATTGCTGCAGCTCTCCCAAAGTGTATTGTATATTACTTTGAAGAAAAGTCAATAATTCTTTCTCTGTAACGTTTCCCTTCTCATTTTTTTATTTTTATTTACTTTTTATTGGCAAACGTTGTCACAGCATATTGTACATTGCATCTTTACACGAATGACCTACATCTGTTCATAGTTGTAACATGCTCTTTTCCACGGTGTCTCTCAGCAGCCTCCCCTGAACGCCCAGATGCTGGCCCAGCGTCAGAGGGAGCTCTACAGCATCCAGCACCGTCAGAGGCAGATGTTCCAGCAGAAAGTCCTGCTGATGAGGCAGAACCTGGCCGTTGCTCCGACTAAAGGTCCTCCAACAACACCTCAACCACAGCAGCAGCAGCAGCAGTTCACCTTCCCACCAGGGTACAACAGCCCAATGACGGGAAAACCCCCTACCTCACCGAGTCCCTTCAGCCCCCTGTCCCCCGGGGCTCCTCTGGACAACAAGCTGCCCGGCAGAGTCCCTTTGAGCAGCCCCACGCTGATGAGTGGCGTTCAGGGCCAGTTCAGCAGCTCCGTCAACGCCTCGCTGCAGCAGGGACTGTTCCAGCAGTTCGGAGGGGCCGGTGAGTTTGTCGAATCTGTTTTATATAATCATGTGGTTCAAGCCATACTAGTGAGTATTTGTTAGTAAAATCTCACTTGTCACCGGCTTGGTCTTCAATATCAGGATACATGTATTTATTATCCTTGCAAGAATGGAAGTAGTCATCACACACAGGGCTGCGTGGGACAAATAGTTCCCAGAGTAGAGTCCTTGATATGCTGATATACAAGAGAGGGTGTTACAGTCAACAAGATGGAAGAATACTAGGGGTGTAACGGTATACGTATTCGTACCGAAATTATTCGGTACGGGCCCTTCGGTTCAGTACACTTGTGTACCAAAGTGTACCGAACGAATATAACGTTAAACGTAAAAAATTGAGAACGTCAACAACTTTTTGGAAGTAATCTCCGGTGCTGCGTCGCAGCATTCAGAGTAATTTGCTCACATTGGGTTCAACGCGTCATAGAGCGACCAAGTCATTTCGTTGGACGAGAGGCATACTATGAGAGCTGGTCACAGGGATGCGTTCAAATGTAGTCAGTCATTTTGAGGACATTGAAGTCAGAACAGGTGGACCGAACCAAAGCTGTTTGTCGGCATTGTTCAACTAAAATTGGTTACGCGGCTGGCAATACATCAAACTTGCACACTCATTTGAAAAGGCATCACCCGAACGTGAATATCACCGGTACCAAAAGAAAAAAGACTGAAGTGCAAACCCAACTCCCACTAGCATTTAAGCCTCCACCACTCGCAACAAGTTCAGACCGAGCCAAAGCTATTACAAACGGCAAATATCCTTATGTTGCCATGTTAGCAAAGCGCTACCTGGCTGTATCTGCTACCGCTCCCTAGCGAGAGGGTGTTCTCCACAGCAGGAGACATTGTTAGTGCCAGCAGATCTGCCCTTTCAGCAAGCAATGTGGACAAGTTCATTTTTCTTTAAAAAAACAAGAAAATACAATGACAAGCAAGTCCTAATGTCAAACTAGGCTGCTTAGGTACGAGTACAGTTCAAATACAGATGATTTCAGTTCATCGAAATGCTGCACCTTAATGTTTATTTTATTTGATCTTTTATTTATTTGAGTGAATAAATTATTCACAGTTTAATAATAATTAAAACCCTCCAACAAATATTTTATGTTTTGTGGGAATTTGTTCTGCTGTACCGAAAACGTACTGAACCGTGACCTAAAAACCGAGGTACGTACCGAACCGAAAAGTTTGTGAACCGTTACACCCCTAAAGAATACTGGTTCAAAGCAGTATCCTGACATTAGTTAAGATTAGCTAAGGCCTGTGTAAGCAATAAACATGACAGTCATAGAGCCTATCTCTCTAGGGGCTGTGTCATCATGCCAGCCTTAGGAACATCATAACTTCAACACAGTGTCTCATGAGCATCATCCATGTAGTCAGACATCCGGCTACGTACACAGCTACGTAGGCCAGACATACCGGGCGTACGTAACACAGCTACGTAGGGCCTCTGTTATCATGGCGGCTACTTCTGATACAAAAGGAGCATTCAGTTATTTTCCCAAACAGTATTCATTTTAGTTTCGGAAAGGAGGCCGATCTGGTTCCATTAGAGAAGCAGGAGAAGGACGCTGGCACGGTCGTTGCCGCTTCGTCCCCCGTCTTTCTTAGACCATTTTGTTATTTTTAGCAGGATTCTATGGATTGTTCTCTACTTACCGCCCCTTGTAGCACTTGAAGGTTGCTTTACAAATAACATTTATTAATATTTTTATGACCAGATAGTTGTCTCCATTGGCAATGTGTGGGGTATCAGCCAGAAAAGGGTCATGAAACCTTAGAATTATTTAAAGGTCTGGGAGGAAACAGAAAATGCAATTTTGACCTATGAGTCAGGAAGAGTTTCAACTACGTACGCATGCACTTTGAGGTGCATTATAGCTGTAAGATCTGCCTTAGTAGTAGGGGGCATTACGCTATTGCTCTGTGTCTTGTTGTTCTTATTGGATTCCCCTCTTTGTTTTATTCTTTAAATGTTGTGAGTGTTTACATCGGATCCACGAACATTTTCTGCCAAGACCAGGCTAGTATACACATTTACACGTAGAAACATATCCAAATCCACACTTGTTTAAGGCTTCTCCTTTATGGTGGATTTTCATCTTTAATTCAAAGGTCCAAAGGCACCGTTACCAGACCTTGTTAGTGGAAACGTCTGAATCCCCCAGGCTCCTCCTCTCCGACAGACAGTATATTTTAAGACTTGCCAGAGAATGAAGAAATAAAATAGTGGAAGTTAAAATCAGTTATTACTTTTTGTGAAATTTTAAGAAATGCCATTTCACTCTTTTAAAGTAATCGGCCAGGCCGGACCCCATCCCTTTCCCTCCGGAGGATGAGCCCGACTTAGCCGCGTTGGTTGTCGCGCTCAACATCAACCTGCCATCCAGAGGTCCTTTGCTGCAGCAAGCCCGCGCTGTGGCTACCAGTCACCAGAAAATGAAGAGTGGCACAGACCGGCATGAGCAGCAACAGGTAAAGGAACGATGTTGTGCAAACATTAGAAAGGTTCCCCTATTATACTGGTGTTTCATCAATATATTATGGGTCTCGAATATTATCCAGTGAACATGTCTCTGAAGTGTTTGTTCTCCAAACACCTACAGATCATTGCAGCATTACCCATAATCCCTCTTTTTCAGCCCTGTTTCAAAAGTTGACTGATTCTGTTACTTTAGATGAAATAAAGGAGCCCCTCTCCCACGCCCCTCTTGAGAAGATATGTGGGTTTAAAAAAGAACTCAATGGTGCTCTTAGGAGGAGATTTCAGGTTGATAAGGGGGGGGTGGTTACCTTGGTTTGCTGATTGGCTAATGGTTTACTCAAGGACCAAAAACATCGTTAGAATCATCAAGGTGGTCCAAAATCTGATCCAGATTCTCAATTTCCAGACAGGTTTTATAAGAAATAGGGGATCTGGACAAAGAGAGAGAATATTGTTCCTCGAAACTTTCAGTCTCTTTCCACAGAGGGGGACCATGTTGAGATGTTAGAGTGAGACATGAGGGAACGAGGGGCACACATGTTGATGTAGAAGATATGGACACATGTGAGAGAATGAGGAAGAGGGACACATGTTGATGTAGAGACATGCGAGAAGAAGGGGACACAATGTGATGTAGAAGAGACTGAATGAGAAGATGGGACACATGGTTGGAATGTAGAAGAGACATGAAGAAAATGTGATGTGAAGAGACATGGAGAAGATGGTTAGAAATGTAAGAAGAGACACATGAGTGGTGAGTGACACATGTTTGATGTAGAGAAGAGACATGAAGAAGGATGGGACACATGTTGATGTAGAACGAAGATGGGAAGAGGGGGACACATGTGATGTAGAAGAGACATGAAGGAAGAGGGGACACATGTTGATGTAGAAGAAGACCATGAAGAGAAGAGGGGACACATGTTGATGTAGGAAGAGACATGAAGGAAGAGGTTTTGTTGTACAATGAGCATGGGTGAAGAGGGGACAACAGTGTTGGATGTAGAAGACGATGTACATGGAGAAGAAGGGGACCACATGTTGAATGTAGAAAGAGACCATTGAAAGAAGAGGGGACACATGTTGATGTAGAAGGACATGAAGAAGAGTGTGATGATGTTAGACGAGCAGTGAGAAGAGGGGAACAGTGTGGTGTGAATATATATAATAGAGGGTGTCACATGTGATGTGAAGAGATTGTAGAAGAGGGGAACATGTTGATGTAGAAGAACATGGGAAGAGAACACATGTGATGTTAGAAGAGACGGGAAGAAGAGGGGAACATGTTTGTGTTTTAGAGACCTGTAAGGAAGGGATTTTGCACGCGCATAAGGTGACCTTTAAATGTGGGGTATAAAAGGATGGCCTGTTTGTTACATGATTATAATATTGTTGTCTATTGTTGTATCATGTAACTCTGATGTCTGTGGTGCTGCAGCCTGTTCGGTGGGATGTGGACTCCTCTATGATGTGCTAATGGGCCTGGACTGTTTTGCCCAGCAGGGGTTGGGTATTCCAATAATACAGAGGCATCACCTCCTGCCTCTTGTTTTGTGTGCAGGTGTCCGTGATTCTAACGCCATGTGTGTTCGTGGTCCATAACTTATGTTCAATCCTCTAGGTCAACGTGGTTCTCAGTGGCAGCGTACCAGTCATGGTCGTGTGTACTGAAGCTTCACGGAGTTTAATGTCCCTACGATAGGTATTCTGTCATGCTCATTTGTTCACAGAGGCTCTCCTTCCCACACCGCATTCAAAAATAATTCACTCCAACCACCTGTTCAACAGTGTCATTCAAATGCCTCTGACCCTCCGACCCCCCCTCCCTCCTTTTCTTTGTTCTTTTTATGTATATGTCGTTATGTTTATATATATTATTTTACTTGATTATCATCATTTATACCACCTGACTTTGTAGCCTTTCCTCGAAATGTTAGTTTGACATTATAGACGCATCTATCTCGTGGGACCTTGATTTTTTTTTACCTACGAGGCAAAGAAACCGATGCATTATCTGGGCTTATTACATGGCTTGTTGAATACTCGATTGCTGATTGGTCATTCAGAACACGTCGACACCTGCCTCTGTATACGAACAGACAGGACCGCGCTGTCAAACCTTATGGACCGTTGTTAAGGACGCTCACCATCTGCACAAACAAGTCTGTTCGATTTAACTATACTACAGTTTGGCTGAAAAGCAGAAGTGCATGGAGTTTCTTTTCTAACCTGACAGACAAGAGCACAAGAAAACGAGGGAGGAAGTTAACGGGCAGGAAATCCTCCTTTTTACGCAGGTGGTCCAGACATAGACATCAGACGGCGACACATATAATGTGTTGCAGTTACTTTGGCATTAGGGCAGGGATATCCATAGATACTTTTCCAAGGTTTGACATAATGAATGTGCTACTTTTTAA